TCTTGTAGAATCCCAGACTGGTTTGGGTTGGAAGGGACCTTCAAGATCATCCAGATCCAACCCCCTGCATGGGCAGGGACACCTCCCACCAGCCCAGGTTGCTCCAAGCCCCATCCAACCTGCCCTTCAACACTGCCAGGGATGGGGCAGCCACAGGTTCCCTGGGCAACCTGGGCCAGGCTCTCACCACCCTCACACTCCACAATTCCCTCCTCATGTCTCACCTCAATCTCCCCTCTCCCAGTTTTCATCCCTTCCCCCTTGTCCTCTCCCTCCCTGCCCTTGTCCCAAGTCCCTCCCCAGCTTTCCTGGAGCCCCTTCAGGCACTGGAAGGTGCTCTAAGGTCTCCCTGGAGCCTTCTCTTCTCCAGGCTGAACACCCCAACTGTCCCAGCCTGTCTCCAGAGTAGAGCTGCTCCAGCCTTTGGATCATCTCCATGGCCTCTCTGGACTCTCTCCAGGAGCTTCACATCCTTACTATCACCTTCCAAAAGGCAGAGGATCTTGCAGGGAATCAGCAGCTGATGTGACCTGCAAAGACTCGTGCCTCTTTTCCCCTCCACACCACAAAACCTGGAACCCAAGAAGTACTTGGTGATTTGGATTCCTCTGACCTTTGGTTCCTCCTCAGGAGCTGTGGAGCCTGCGGGAGAGGATCACAGAGGCCCTGACCCACGATGGCTGTGTCTACAAATATGACATCTCCCTCCCTGTGGGGAAGCTCTACGACCTGGTGATGGACATGAGGGCTCGGCTGGGCCCCACTGCCAAAAACGTGGTGGGCTATGGCCACCTGGGTGAGTCTGAAGGCTGGGAGAGGGCCTGATGGCTCTTCTGTGCTCCAGGTTTGGCTGTGCCACTGACTAGTCCTTTGAAAGGTTGCTTTTAGGTTAGTAAGAGGCACAGATTTAATAGCTGAGAGCTGTCAGAAAGGGATCTTTGGGTCTGAGTTGCATTGCTTTCAGGCTGTGTTCCTTATATTAAAAGAAGGCTGCTAACCAGACAACCCCTGGACTGGTGACTTGTATCTTCTTGCTCTGTGCTTCCTATTTAAGTATCTAACTTGTTTAATTGGCCCATCAGTTTGATGAATGCACTTAAGACACATTCAGTAACTAAAACACTTTCTTGTCCAAAGTGATGAGTTTTATTGGGAACCAATTATTTCTGAGCCATTAACCCTCCAGAAGAGGGTGACAGAAGTAATGGAGACACACAAAAAAAAGTGCTTGGAAATGAATTTGGTGTTACCTACAGGTGGATTGGTAGCTTAGCTGAAACAACCAAACCAAACCAAGGGGACCCTCTTCATTGGGCGTGATTTGAGATGTTTGGAAAGACCTGTGAAGACAAGTCTGCATAACAAAGGCTTTGTGCTCACTCTGAGGGCTTGCTGAGATGCAGGAAGAGATTCCAGAGTGAGAATGAATAAGTTGTGTTTATCTTTTGTGTGTTCTGCCTCCTGATCACCCAGCAACTCAACCAAATAACCAGCACACACCAGTGGCAGTGGGAGAAGATGTCATGCCTGCTTTGTTTCAGTTGACATGGTGCCAGAGGGCTCTTAGAACATGGCACAAACAGACTAGGAAGAGAGAGTGACAAAAGGGCCATGTTAAAACCCAGGGATTATTATGGAAAACCACTGGCAAAGCCTTTGGCAGGCCACCTCAGCAGTGAGACAATGAGGAATGGAGCAGAGGTGTTTGCATTTTAAAACCACAGGAGTGAGGATTTGGAAGGAGCTTCACTGAGAAGGCTCCCTCAAGTATTGTAGTGAAAGGATGGAAAAACAAAGCTCCTCTTTGAATTATGTATGCATGGAGAGACTGGTATGTGTAGAGGGACAGTGAACTTGCCCTTGTTCACAGTTTGGAGACTAACAAAGGCACTGTTGTTTGAGTACTGTGGAGGAGACTAATGAGTCTCCACTGCAGGGCCATGAAGTTTCTCTTACAGCCCCATTTCTGCCATGTTTTCTTGCAGGAGATGGAAACCTTCACTTGAACATCACAGCAGAGTCCTACAGCCCTTCCCTGCTGGATGCCATCGAGCCATTTGTCTATGAGTGGACTGCAAGATACAGTGGTAGCATCAGTGCAGAGCATGGCCTGGGCTTCAAGAAGAAGCAGTTCATCCAGTACAGCAAAACCCAGGAGGCCATCCTGCTGATGCAGCGTTTCAAAGCCATGTTAGACCCCAAAGGGATCCTCAACCCCTACAAGATGTTGCCCTCCAGCTCCTGAGAAGGTGCCAGCACACACTGGTGGCATCTCCTGCCTGCACTTTAGCCATGGACAAATGTGATGGATCAATCAGCCATGGAATGCTCCTGGCTTGGTTTCCTTAGTGTGATGGGACAAGTAAAGGGATGTGGTTCCTCCTTTCCAGGGGTGCCTGCTCTTTCTGAAGAACACACAACTGGTTGTGGCCTTGTGGGTTTCCTAGTCAGATGTTGTGTCTGAATGTCACAGCTCTCTGTCCCCTTAGTCTGCTCTGATGTATTAGTGAAGTGACACCAGCCACAGGAGGCATTTGCTCACTTGGGGTGAGCAAGTGAAACATCAGAGGCACAGGAGGAGAACCTGTGGGTGCTGTGCCCCGAGCTCCGAGTGAAAATGTTGCTCCTCCTCACTTGTTTTGATCTAACATGCTTGTCCAGAAGCCCACAACAGCATCAGGTCGTGCCCTCTTGAGTGATGCCACCTGCAGGCTGTCCCCGGCAGGCACCAGGGTTGTCCCATGACCAGTGCAGTCCTGTAAGGAGTGGCCAGAGAAGAGAAGGTCCCCAGAGACCAAACTTCTGGGTAACCTTACTTGGAGAGGAAACACCAGCAGCTGTGGGAGGGGATCCCAGGACTTCTGATCCCAGGCTCCAGGCATGCTAGTATTCCCTGCTGCCTTCCAGTCTCACCTTGTCAGCCAGTTCTGATGTGTCCTGCTAGAGGGTGGGAGCCATGATCCTAAGGAGTTACAGGGATACCCCAAATCTGCCAAGATCTAGCAAACTAGGTCAGGCTGGGTGGGGATGATGACACTGATGTTAAAATCGCCTGGAATTTACACCTGCGGCTCAGCTGGAGAAGTTGTCCAACTGTGAGATGAGTGGGTTGAAGTGGCTCTGGGTGAAATCAGGCTGAAGGGCAGAGCTCAAGGGGTTGGTTCCTCAGGGCCAGTGCTATTCAATATTTTTATCAGTGATCTCAGTGAATGTTCCATTAGCAAGTTTGCTGATGGTATCAAACCAGGAGGTGCTGTTAACTCTTGAGAGAGGTCTGGAGAACAAGTCTGATGAGGAGCAGCTGAGGGAGCTGGGGATGTCCAGCCTGGAGACAAGGAGGTGAGACCTTCTGGCTCTGCAGCTGCCTGAGAAGAGGTTGGAGCCAGGGGGGTCGGGCTCTGCTCCCCAGGAACAAGTGATGGGACAAGAGGAAATGGCCTCAAGTTGTGCCAGGGGAGGTTTGGATGGGATACGAGGAGAAACTTCTTCCTCAAAAGGGTTGTCAGGCCCAGGCTCCTCAGGGAGGTGGTTGAATCACCATCCCTGGAGTTCTTCAGAAGACCTGTAGATGTGGTTCTGGGGGACAGGGTTTAGCACTAGACTCAGGAGACTTAGGTTAATGGTTGGACTTTATGATCTTAAAGGTCCTTTAGAACCAAAATGATTCCATCATCCTAAGAGGCCTTGCAGAGGGATCTAGATGGATTGGAGCACCAGACAATCATCAATGGGATGAAGTCTAACCAGCCCAAGTGATGGATCCTGCACCTGGGACACACTAACCCGGGGCACAAGGGTGATCTGGGAGGGGAGTGGCTGGAGAGCAGCCCTGCAGAGAGGGGTCTGGGGGTGCTGGGGGGCAGCAGGCTCAGGAGGAGCCAGCAGAGTGTCCTGACACCGAGGGCCAACCACCTCCTGGGGGGCATCAACCACAGCCAAACCAGCCAGTCAGGAGAGGGGATCCAGGGACAGGACACCTGGGAATGATTCAGAGCTGCACCAGGGCAGGTTTAGACTGGACATTTTCTTTACCAAGAGAGTGGACAAACACTGGAACGGGCTTCCTAGAGAGGTGGTTGAAGCCCCAAGCCTGGCAGTGTTTAAGGGACATTTGGACAATGCCCTTAATAAAGTGCTGTAACTGTTGGTCAGTCCTGAAGTGGGCAGGTCATGATTAGTGATCACTGTAGGTCCCTTCCAACTGGATTATTCTGCTCTAGAGATAGGGGGGAGATTTGTTGTTTTGTGCTGTTTTGTGTTGTTTTCTTGCTACAGTCTTATTTTGAGCTGGCAGGAGGGGTTTTCATGCAGTTTGGTGTGCAAAGCCACATTGTCACCCATCTGTTCTGGTGAGTCACCTTGCTCAGTCTTTGCCAGTCACATCCGTGTTTACCAAGACATGTCACTCTTTTTACCCAGCCTCTGTTGTGTCTAAATCAAGTAGGTGATTGGGAAAAGCCCCAGAGTAGGTTGTGGCAGTGACCTGACCACTTTCTCCCAACAAAATGGCATTTCCTGTGGCCATGTGGAGGGCCGTGGATGTTTGCAGAGCTCCCAGGGTTCCCACAGCCCTGGGGAGCAGCTGGCACAGCACTGGATGGGTAGGAAACTGGTTCACAAGCCACCTCAGAGGGTGGTGATCAGTGGTGTTTATTTAACTCTTCTGGTTTGGGAAGCTCTTCTGTGGGACTGGGAAAGGTGGTTGTGTTACCCAGTCTTCTCCATTTCCTGCTTTTCAGGGATCTCTGCTCTTCCACAGCACGATGCTCCATCCCCAGCCTTTTTCTTGGAAGAAGATCATCCTCCAGGGACTTCCTGCTTTTTAACCAGAACACCCTCTCTCCAAGGCTGTTAAGCTGCTGAACTGCATTAAGGCTGCTGGCTTAGCTCAGCCCTGTGCTCTGACACCCTTGGTGACGCAAGCCCAAGGTCACAGCTCTCTCAGCTTGGCCCCTCAGGTGCTTGGAGCAGAAAAACAACTCCCTGGGTTAGGTGACCTGCAGGGCTGACATCCAGCCTTGCCCTCTGGGCTCCTCAGCTCCTTCTTGCTTTCTCTGCCATCAGGGCCTTCCTCCCCTCTCCTTTTATTCAGTAGGACCATTGGAGAGGAGCTGATGATCTCCTGGGGTGAAACAGGGTGACAAGAGGCCACCCTTAGGTAAGAGCAGGCAGAGTCTGGAATGCAGTCAGCCCAGCTGCCTGTGGGTCAGGTGCTGCAAAAACAGGGAATGTCCACGATGTGAAGAGAAGGAATACACAGGATTGGCTTTTTTTTGCCAAGTTAGGGCTGATGCAGCTCGTTCTTTCCGGATCAGGCTGTTTCTATTCTCTGCCTTTCCCCCTACACCATTCTCTCTCTTTTTTGGCCCCCAAACCACTGTCCATAATTGTTGAAAATACAGGCTTTACATGTGAATGGGCCTTTTTGGGAAGCAGAACTTTCCATACTGCTGCTTTTTTTTTTAACTTTGCCCAGCTACATATGAAGAGGGTGCTAGGGAGGGAGTCAGGGCTGCCAGAGAACCTGGTGCTGTGACCAGGGAAATTCTTACCCAGCTCCATTTAACCACCTTCTTTACATGTGAAGATCCTAAAGCTTCATGTAAGTTGACTGTTTCAACTGAAAAAAAAAACCAAAACACAGCAATGACCCTGAGTTACTGCTGGGTTATTTTATAGCATCTTTCCTAGACCTTTTAACACCAAGATTATTCTTTTCCACCTTCTAAGTGATGCTTTCAAATATTGGGTATAGGAGGGAGATTTATTTGTCTGTGTGTGTGTGTGTGTATTTTTATAAAGATTTATTGTGTTAGGAATTTCTCATCCCAAATTCTATTACTCTTCTTTTGCTGGGACAGACTTGAAACATGAGAACAACAGGGGATGCTCAACACTTTGAATTGGATCTAGGTGGTCTTTAATGTCCCTTCCAACCCAAACCATTCTGTGTTTCTGGTATAATGAGGAAGGATTTGACTCTCTCTCTGGGTTTTGGCTGGGGTAAGAGTTCGTTTTCTTCCCAGAAGCTGGAGCTGTGAGCAGTGTTGCCAGCACAGGGTGTTGTGGCTGGTGTTGAGCAGTGCTCAAGTGTCACAGGCTTCTCTGGTTCTTACCCTACCCAAGGAGCTGGGAGGGGACACAGCTGGGACAACTGACCCCAGCTGCCCAAAGGGATGTCCCATGTCTTATGATGCAAGAAATCTGGGGGGAGGAAAGGGAGGTGTTCAGAGTTAGGGCATCTGTCTTGCCAAGTGTGGTGGAGCCCTGCTGTTCTGGGGCTGCCTGAACCCCCTGCCTGCCACGGGAAGCAGGGAAGGAATTGTGTTCCCTTGGCTTGCACCCTCAGCTTGGGCTTTCCCTGCCACCAGGTCTGCACTGTGAGCTTGTGCACTTCTGCTTCTTCTCCCCACGTGTGTGAGGGGGGCTGAGCTGCCCCCGGGGCTGCCCTGAGCCACGTGTGGAGCTGTGAGCTCAGCACCCTGAGCTGCCCGCTCAGCATCCCACCCCAAGGGACTGAATTCTGCCTCCCTTGGGTGCTGCCAGGCTCAGAGCAGCCCAGCCCCACCTGCAGCCAGGTGTTCCTGCTGTGTGTTCCCTGCGCAACCCAACCTGGCAATTCCCAGGCAGAGCAATGAATCCATTGTAAAAGGCTAAGAAATGATCTTTTGTGACTCCTGGGCCCTGCCAGCTTCTGAGCCAGTCACCTCACAGCTGACGTGGGTAATGTAACAGGAGAAAGAATCCTGGTGCACATGATCCCCCGCCCCTCCTGGCCAGCAGCAGCTGTGCCAAGAGTAACAGTTTCTGCATAAAAACAGCTCAGGTTGGCTCGTGTTCCAGCAAAAAAACTAGAGGAAAGCAACCCCAAACCCTGCTAATCTCTGCCTCTTGGTGAGCACCAGCGCTGGGTTTGAGGCAGCTGGGATTTCAGGAGAAATGGTGGGTGTTTGGGCAGGGGGAAGAGGTGGCAGTGAAGGGTGTTAAGGTGCTGGGGAGTTGGCTCTTGGTGGGGCAGGTTGGGCCACCAGGAGTGGAGTGGGGATGACATGCATGGGAAGTGTCACGGCTGGAAAAGACAAAACCAGCTTCATCCCCTGCTCTAGGCTGGGAGATACTGGTTGTCTTGTTTGTTGCCTGGATGAGGAGAGGATCATCTTCATCCCTGGGGTGAGGGGCAGGGAGATCCCCCCCACCCCAGACCTGCAGGGCAATCCCTGCTCTGCCTGGGCAGTTTGCAACCATCCATCCCAGTGTGGGTAGTGCTGGTGCACAGGGAGGTCTGGTGGAATCTCAGACTCCTGGGTAGTGCAAGTTGTGGTGCTTGTTAATAACCCTGGAAACTCCTTTTGTAGACAACAAGTCCCGCTGAGGGGCAGGAGCTCTGTCTCCCCAGCCCTGGGTACAGCAACACCTGGAAGCTCTTCACCTCCAGCCACACGAAAGGCATTTTCACTGGGAAAGAGCTCCAAGTCTCACTGGTTTTAAGTGGGATGTTGCTGTTGTCCCCGTGTGTGCCTGGCAGGGAATGACAGTCCCAAAGCACCGGGCAAGACTTGGAGGCAGGTGGTGACGTGGGACCAGCTGGGGGGGTGGTGGGCACCCTGTGGGGATGTGCAGGGGGGTGCTGATCCCTTCCCCCAACCCCCCCCCATCACCAACACCAACACCTGGAAGCTCTTCACCTCCAGCCACACGAAAGGCATTTTCACTGGGAAAGAGCTCCAAGTCTCACTGGTTTTAAGTGGGATGTTGCTGTTGTCCCCATGTGTGCCTGGCAGGGAATGACAGTCCCAAAGCACCGGGCAAGACTTGGAGGCAGGTGGTGACGTGGGACCAGCTGGGGGGGTGGTGGGCACCCTGTGGGGATGTGCAGGGGGGTGCTGATCCCTTCCCCCAACCCCCCCCCATCACCAACACCCTGCCCTGAGCCCCCCCCAGGCCCAGCAGAGATGAGGGTCCCCACTAAGGGGTCCCTGCTCCACCTTTTCCCTCCCTGCAAAACCCTTGCAGATGCCACCTCCTGAGGCAGCTCCTTGTACCTGTGTGAGGTTAATGCTTCCCGTGGCTTATTCATGGACTTCCCCCCAGCCCTGGGAACACCTAGCCACTCCCTTTGTCCTCACCTCTCCCAGCCATTTATAGCAGCCATGGGATGCTAGAAATAGAGCCCTGCACAGTAAGAGCCAGAGGAGAAGAACAGGAATCGATTTGCAGAGGAGATACTTGCTGCCTGGCAGCATGAAAAGCCCTGGGTGCACTTCAAGGTAAGGGGAGAGGGAGGTGGGAGCTCTGGGAGAAGAATTCCAGCACCATTTGTTCTAAAGGGGCTGGTTCAGGTAATCCCTGGGAGTTGTTAATAAGCTGGAGAGTTGGCTCCAGGTGACTGCAGGGGAAGGGATTCCTTCTGCCAGGAATGTTTCTTCCCTGTATTCCAGGTCTTTTAATTTGAAAGCACCTTGGGAGGTTGACACAGAGGTCTGGTGTTGGCAGCTGGGAATGGAACCAGAAGGTTGTCCCCAGCCTGAAAGCATCCCCAGCAGAGTGTTACCTGAGAGGTGGCTTTGCCATGTTTTCTTCCCAGCTGGGAGGTGGGGTTGGAGCAGGTGGGGAAGGGGAGGCAAAGCCCTGGGGTCAGGCAGTTGTTCGGCTTCTTGGTAGGATGTTGTGTCTTGGCAATGATGTTTCTCAGAGATGTCTCAGGCTGGTCACCCCCCTGGTGAGCTCAGAAGGTCCTCCCAGTGACATTCCAGTTGTGGCTTGTTTGGACTTTGCTTTGCAAAAGATTCTGTTGAGAGGGTAGAAAGTAGCTGGTGGCTGTGAGCAGCCCCTGGGAACCTCAGCTGCCTTGGGCTTGATGCATTCCAGGGCAAGGCTTCCTCCTTCCCCTGAGGTGTGTCCTTCCACTCTCCCCTTCCACACCTGGTGGTTACGAAATCCCTCTGCTTGTGGCTCCAACTGTTTGTGTGAATGATCAGGGCTTTTCTGGGAAGTCAGGTGCTCCCTCCACTCACCTTCAGCGTAGGCAAGTGAGAGTCAATGGCAAAACAGCACTCAGGGAGGTGGGACTTGTCTTTCTGGAAGGGATTGAAGCACAGGAGATATTTTAGCCCAAGTTGTCCATTGGTTCCATACTTGGAGACGTAGAGGTGGCTTGGTCAGAGACTTCCAGTCTTGTGTCCAAGGGGATGGGGTGGGTGTGTGTGTGAGACACCAAAGGAACAGGCTGGGAGAGTTGGGGTGTTCAGCCTGGAGAAGAGAAGGCTCCAGGGAGACCTTAGAGCAGCTTCCAGTGCCTGAAGGGGCTCCAGGAAAGCTGGGGAGGGACCTGGGACAAGAGCAATTCAGTGTCTTTCACATGGCACGAGCTGTGAGAGCCACCACCACCCTGTGCAGCAGGACCATGTTAGAAGGACAGTAGAAAGAACCACCAGGTCCAGCCTGCAGCAAACCAAGTGCCCCCATTGACCCTCAGACTGGGAGGGCTTGGAGCCTTCCTGGCTCTCTCTCCAGGGTGGGAACTGTGGGTGTGACCGTTCCATGCTGCAAATGGAACCCCATCTTCTCAAAACAACTTGAAGCCCAAGCCAGATCTGCTTCATTTTGGAAGTGGTGGCTTGAAAACCATGGAATAACATCACGTGGTGGTGTCAGGTCATAGGCTGGGCTGGATGGCCTTCAAGGTCTTTTCCAGCCTTGGTGATTCTGTGATTCTGTAATTCACACTGAGGGTAAAAAAGCCTTTAGGATCAGAGAAGTCAGACCAAGCTTGGTGATGGAAAGTTCTCTATTGGTGGGCATCAAACCTTCAGAAGATCCCGTGCATGTCCCACCTGGAATGCACTGCTGATGAGAAACAGTGGTTGCCTAACTGGTGCTGGAAAAGACTCACCCCTGGAGCATGGGTAGGTGAAGTGTGCCATCCAAGGGTTGCCCCTGGGCTCAGGCAGCTGAAATTCTGGCCAAGGTGAGAAGATCTGATTAAAAGGGAGACCTGGGTGAGGCTGAGCAGAAGAGCTGGGCTGGGAGGAGCTGTCACAGTGAGGACTTGGTCCTCTTGTTTGAAAGCAGGGCATCCTGAGTCTGTCCCAGCAGCTGTTGGGTTATTAATTGATTTTCTGTACTGATTAATCAGTTATATTGAAAAATCATCAGTCAAATGTTTCTATCTCATCTTCTGGAGTGATGTGTCTAGAGGAGCTGCTCAGATTTCTGACCCAAGGAACCTTCATGCCCTCACAAAGGGTTCATGTTTCCAGTGAATAAAGGAGAAGTTTGAATTGTGAACAAGCTCTCAAGCCCCAGGAAACTGAAAGAAAAGCAAAAGAAAAGGCAGCAGAGCAGGAAGCTCCTGGAAAAGCTGAGCAGGCTCTGCCTGGAGCAAGTTGTGTCTTGCCAAAGGCCAAAACTGGGCCAAACCTGGGGACAAAGGCAGGGAGCTGGAGGTGGTTGGCACCGCAGGGACACAGAGCTGTGCTGCTCCCAGGGGGTAAAAATGCCTGAGGGCAAAATGCAAAGTTTGGTGGGTCAGGGAAGGACTATCAGGTGAAAATCCACTGGCAGTCTCCTTTCTTTCTAGGCATATCAGATGTCTCCTCGTTTTCAGCCTTTGCCTGGGACTCATCTTCCTGTCAGGCTTCTTCCATATGAAGACTAAGGATTCCATGTAAGTGGAGCAGCAGCTCCTTGGTCTGCCCAGGGCAGCAAGGATCTGACCTGGGACACTGGATGGATGGACTTGAGGCTAATTCTGGAAAGGCAGCAGCCCAGAGTTAGGTCCTGGATCCACCTCTGGGCAGGGAAGGGATGGAATTAGCCAACGTGCAGCTCTTTGGGGCATGGAAAAAACAATCATAGAATGGTTTGGGTTGGAAGGGACCTTGAAGATCATCCAGATCCAACCCCCTGCATGGGCAGGGACACCTCCCACCAGCCCAGGTTGCTCCAAGCCCCATCCAACCTGCCCTTCAACACTGCCAGGGATGGGGCAGCCACAGCTTCCCTGGGCAACCTGGGCCAGGCTCTCACCACCCTCACACTCCACAATTCCCTCCTCATGTCTCACCTCAATCTCCCCTCTCCCAGTTTTCATCCCTTCCCCCCTGTCCTCTCCCTCCCTGCCCTTGTCCCAAGCCCCTCCCCAGCTTTCCTGGAGCCCCTTCAGGCACTGGAAGGTGCTCTAAGGTCTCTCTGGAGCTTTCTCTTCTCCAGGCTGGACACCCCAACTCTCCCAGCCTGTAAAAGAGAAGAGGATCAAAGTGAAGCCCTTGGCTCAGTGAGGACCTGGAGGAGTAGGAACTTTTCTGGCTTCTACAGCTGAGGGATGGGGCTTGTTTGGGTGGGTGGGTGCCTTGCACCAGCTCCAGGCAATGGTAACAGAAGGAGAGAACCTGCTGCCATTTGGCTTTCCCAGGTCTCAGGGCTGGGGTTTGGCACTGGAGAGGCTGTTCTCCCCATCTCTTGCATTACTGCAGATTCTCCAAGAGCCACAAGGAGCTGCTGGTGACATCTGAGCCTTGCCATGCCCAGACCAACGTCATGTTCCTCAAGACCCACAAGACAGCCAGCAGCACTGTCCTCAACATCATGTTCAGGTTTGCAGAGAGGTACAACCTCACCGTGGCCCTCCCAGCTGACCAGCTCCTCCACCTGGGCTACCCCAAGACCTTCCTGGCCAACTTTGTGGAGGAATTTGAAGCCATAGGACAAAACTACAACATAATGTGCAACCACCTGCGGTTCAACCCCTCAGAGGTGAGAAAGAGCCACTGATACCCAGGGAGAAACCTGGTCAGGGCCTCTGGACTCACAGCTTCTCTTCTTCCTCCCCATAAACAGGTGCAGAAGGTGATGGCCGCCAACACCTTCTACTTCTCCATCCTGAGGAACCCCATTCCTCTGCTGGAGTCTTCCTACGTGTACTACAAGAACAATGTCCCTGCCTTCAGGACCTCCAAGGATGTGAATGACTACCTGGCCTCACCCACCAAGTATTACCACCCAGAAGATTCCAGGCAGAACATCTACGCCCGGAACATCATGTGGTTTGATTTTGGCTACGACAACAACGCAGAGGACAACGAGAAGTACATCCAGGCTGTCCTGAAGGAGATTGAAGAGAACTTCCACCTGATCTTGATAGCAGACTACTTTGATGAGTCCATGGTCCTCTTGAAGCACACTTTGTGCTGGGATCTGGACGATGTGATCTACTTCAAGCTCAATTCCAGAAGCCAGGACACTGTCCAGACCTTGACTCCAGAAAGCAAGGAGCAGATAAAAGTGTGGTGCTCACTCGACTGGAAGCTCTACCTGCACTTCAACCAGAGCTTCTGGAGGAGAATTGAGGACACCATAGGGCACGAGGAGCTGGAGAAGGAGGTGAAGCACCTGCGAACCAGGCAGAGGGAGCTGATGGAGACCTGTCTTCTGGGCCAGGAGGCAGTGGGGAGGGATCACATCGAGAACAAAGCTCTCCTGCCTTTCCAGTCAGGGGCTGCAAACATCCTGGGGTACAACCTCAGACAAGACATAGACAACAGGACTCTCAGAACCTGCCAGAGGATGGTCCTGCCAGAGCTCCAGTACATGTCCTACCTTTACTCTGTTCAGCACCCACACAAGAAGAGGAAGCAGCTGGACTTGCCCTTGCTGTGGACCAGTTCCCAGGAGAAGCTGCAGCTCCCAACTCCCAACTACGGGAGAGACTTCCCACCCCACTGAGACTTCCCACCACTTTATAGCACGTGGGGCTGACCCACAGGACCTTTGTGCATCAGGGGGAGACGGGTGGGGGGCTTAATTCTGGGCCACCCAGCTGGTGAGGGGTCCCTTTTTGGGGACCTTGGGACAAAGAGTCTGTGTTGTATGGATCCTGTGTGATCCCACCCGGGCTGAGGGGACAAACCTGCTGCTCCCAAGCGCTGGGCAGACTTTCCAGCTGGGTGATGTGTTCCTGCCAATTAATCATTAATCATGGGCTTAATCATTATGTTTGTAGTTGACTTGATTTACCAGCCATCAGTGGGGTCCTGCCTGGTCACAGCTCAGTAGAGCAAGTCCTGATTTTTCAGCCTTAAGATAGAAAGGAAAAAAAGGGGGGAACAGGGAGGGAAAGGAGGAGGGGAGCACCACGAGGGGACACAGCAGCTGGAGGAGGACAGGAGACGTTGGGCAGCTTTTCCCCACCAGCACAGGAGACATCCTGCATGTCATGAGGTGGAGGGGGGTCCCTCTGCACCACTTGGAACCTCTTGGTGCTCCTCTGGGAGGGTCCATTGGGTGGTTTCATCCCTCTCATCTTGGGTGAGGGTCTCTGGAGCCCTTTATCAGCAAAGGTTTTGTTGGGCCAAACTCCCCCACAGGGGAGGGGTGGAGGGAGGCACAGCTGCTGTGCGTTGAGGCCATGACTTAATTAGGGAAGGAAGTAATTAAACCTGCCCAGGAGGCCTGTGCTGATTAGCCAGCTCCCTGCTGGTGCTGGGAGGGTTCCTCAGAAGGCCTCGGGGGCCAAGCCCAAGTGCTTTGATGTCACCACCCGGATGTTTGCCAGCTCCTGGCATGGCCCCATCCCTCAGGATGAGCTATTCCAAGGCTTAGCCAGGGTCTCCCAACTCCCACTGCTTGGAGGGGGAGGCTGGGTTGGCAGGACTGGGATGGTGGATCCCAGGTCTCCTGGCTCCTTGTGAAGCAGCCTGGTGGCATCTCCTGGTAAGGAGGAGGGATGCTGCTGGAAGGGATGCAGAGCTGGGATTTTCCTTGGCTCTGCTGGAAGCTGGGAAGCAGGCAGGGAAAGCAGGTGAGGCAGGGGTTAAGCTGCTGCTCCTCGGGAGCAGGGCTGGAGATTAGCAGCACCAAAGGGTTTGCTGCTCCAGCAACCCCAGCTAAAATTAAACAGGCTTAGGAGGCATTTGCAAGGAGCTGGGGTGGGGAGGGTGGCAGCCCCATGTCCTCAGCTGGGGAGATCCCCTGTGGGGGCCTTTCTTGGCCAATCTTGCCCCCAGAGTCTGGCCTTGCACCTTCTGACCTGTGACTTTGCCCTATGACTTTGGGCAAACCCCTTGAACTAAAGCTGATGCAGGGCATAACAAGCATTAAGAGCTGGTTTAGGGGCAGCTGAGCTGTGCTCAGGGGCTGCTCCTTGGTGGGGCTGGGACCCCCCAGCCTGGGGGGAATGGTGCTGGTGGCATCTGGGCTGGGAGGTCTGGCCTCTCCCCAGCCTCCGGGGAGAGGGAAACTGAGGCAGGAGATGCAAACACCCCCCCATGTCCCCCTCTTTTTGCATCCCCTCCTGGGAGGTCTGGGCAAGGTGGGGCCCTGGGGCTGATAACGGGCTCTTTGTGCCGCTGCTGATGCTGCTGACTCAGGGCTTTTGCGTCCCGGGGCCCCGTGACACACGGAGGGGACCCTGCCAGGGGCTGGCAGGACAGCCCGGAGCCTGCAGCTTTTGGGGGTGGGGGAGGAGAGCAGGGACTGCTCCTGGGGCAGGTGACAGTGGCAGAGGGACATGGAGCCTGGGGACAGCTGGGCCTGCACTGCCTGGGTTGTGCACCCCCCGGGTCTTCCCTTCCCTCCTTGGGACCCTCGGGAGGAGCCAGGGCTGCTCCTGGGGTCTTGGCTGAGCAGAGGTGGGCTCTGTCCCACCACCCCAGCTCCCAGCGCCTGCTTGATGGTGGGAGTGGGGAGACCCTATGCTGAGTGGCCTCAATTTAGCAGAAAGCTCGTTGAAAGAGTCTTTTGGGGGGTCATTTTAGTTGAACTGGGGGGGGACCACAGGTCAGCTTCTTCCATGTCAACCCAGAACCCTGTGCTGTCTCCTTCCTTGGGGTGGTGGTGGCAGCACCCCTTCATCTCCTCTCACCTCTAGCCCTGCCCATGAAGACCTGCCCTTCAGCCTGGGCTCCTGGGAGGGCGGAAGGTTTCCCAAACCCACCAGGTCAAACCTCTTCAGGACAAGGGGGCTGGAGCAGCTCTGCTCTGGAGCCAGGCTGGGAGAGTTGGGGTGTTCAGCCTGGAGAAGAGAAGGCTCCAGGGAGACCTTAGAGCAGCTTCCAGTGCCTGAAGGGGCTCCAGGAAAGCTGGGGAGGGACTTGGGACAAGGGCAGGGAGGGAGAGGACAAGGGGGAAGGGATGAAAACTGGAAGAGGGGAGATTGAGGTGAGACATGTGGAGGAAATTCTTGAGTGTGAGGGTGGTGAGAGCCTGGCCCAGGTTGCCCAGGGAAGCTGTGGCTGCCCCATCCCTGGCAGTGTTGAAGGGCAGGTTGGATGGGGCTTGGAGCAACCTGGGCTGCTGGGAGGTGTCCCTGCCCATGCAGGGGGTTGGGACTGGATAATCTTGAAGGTCCCTTCCAACCCAACCCATGATTTTTTTTATGTCCCCCCAGCTCCCAGGTCAAGCCCAGCAGCCAGTCCCCCCAGAGGTGGATCCCATCTCCCTGCCTCAGCCCCCATGGGTTCCCGGCACTTCCCGGCGCGCACGGTGCTGTTTGAGAGGGAGCCCGGCGGGGTGACGTACCGGGTGCCCGCCCTGCTCTACCTGCCCTGCGTGCCCAGGCTGCTGGCCTTCGCCGAGCAGCGCCGCAGCCCCGACGACGCCCACGCCGACCTGCTGGGGCCGC